TGTGAAGGTTTGAGAAGACTTCCTCTAATTAAGACCATTTGTTGGAAAATTTCAACTCCCAAGATCTGCCAGTCAATTCTCACCTCTAGTGTGTTGTCTTGCATTTCATACATGAGCCTCTGGCTCAGGCAATATGGGTAACCTTGCCCCACGTAAAGACATTAAATTTTGACTACTATTACTATTATTATGCTGATTTCAATAATCAATAGATTTATTGTGCCTAACCAACTTTCCGTCCCACACATTTTTGTCTGTAGCTTGAGGCTGAGAATCTACCAGAAGTCTCCATTAAATATGAAATAAGTGCAGTTCCAACATTTCTCCTTTTCAAGGTGAGTAAAACAGAACCCTTCACACTCTAACATCGCTCTCATGCATATTCTCCATCTTGTTCTCTATGTATTTCATAAGGTGATAACAAGGAAAAATGTGTTTAAAAATAAAGAGCCTCTTTAGTTGGTGAAAGGTATAAAGACAACCCAATCAGATTGGGTTGGATTTAAGTCATCCCCCCCCTCCCCTTATAGTAGTCATTACCACCCAAGTTAATTGGATTGACCCTTTCTCTCTTAGGAGCAATCAAAAATAATTCACTACTCGTAATATCAATATTTTTCTCAGCAAAGAGGTGACAAGAAGAAATAAAAATATCAACTGGGTGTAAGGCTGTGGTCTAGTAGTGCCTTGCGGCCTCTGGTGCCTTACTTTTGCTCTTGGGTGACTCAGGAATTATAGTTTTTTCATTCAAAGCATATGCTGGGTAGCCTTGATTTCACAGTTTCAGAGCACTGGGCTACATTTAATTTTCCTTAGATCACAGCCTTGTGGGTGTTATTTTTTTTATTTGACACTAAATTATTGTTGTGAAAATCATAAGAAAAGAATGACTGGGGGTATAGGAAATCAATATTTTTATCACTCTGGTTTTACATGGAAACTAATCAATTTATTGCTGACTCTTCATAGTACAGGAATGAAATTGAAGATAAGACAAGGAAAAAAGGTTAACAGCACAGGAAATTAAATTTGGTCACCCATCTAAATATTAACTCAAGCCAACGGGGCTAAACTTCAGTGAAAAGCACAAGCACGTGGCTAATTTCCTTATCAGACTACAATGACACCCTTGCAAACTTTTAACATGGTCGGCAACATGGTCTGCCACAGGCATTCCAAAACAATGAGGAGGATAATTTTGATTTACTCTAATATTGAGGATAATTGTGTCAATCATCAATATTAACCTTGTTCTACATTATTTTGAACTTGTTTATTTTTAGAACCAAAAGGTTGTGGACCGGCTGGATGGAGCAAATGCTCCAGCCTTAACCAAGAAGGTTCAACATCATGCAAGTATTATCACCACAACTGTTGCTGCAGCAGAAAAAGAACAGGACACAAAAGAGGTTTGTTTTGCTCCTACATGTACATGAAAGTGCCCTCGTGCTTTATTCAGAACTGTCACATGGTTGTCACAGGTCAGAGAAAATTCAGGGAAAAAAAATTTCTTCGAGGTTAGGGAAAAGTTAGAAAAAATTACTTCTTTGTCAGAAATCTCAAAGAAATCTTGTCTATGCCCTTTATATGATGAGAGATGCTGAAACTTTGACAGTAAATAGATTCCCTACAAGCAATATTGTTTTCCCTTTGTAATTCAAGTTCAAGTTTGTTTGTGAATGAAACTTCGCCTTTTCTCATTATTTTATCCATTTCTTACTCTTTGCTACATTTCACTGACACAAAATATGTTGGATTGGTAGAATTTTTATACTGTTTAATGAAATTGGATGACAAGGTGATATTTGGTTTCCAAGACAATCAGCTATTTTTCCATGTTGTATTAAGGAACTGTCGGTTCGTATATGCTGCATGTGACTTGCTGAAAACATTTAACTAAAAGGATGGATGTGAGGTTGATGGCCACTGTCTGGGCTGATATGTGAAATTGTTAATTTAATTCAGTTAGTCAGGGAAATTCTACATTTGTCAGGGAGTAGTCAGGGAATTTCAAAAAAAACTATAAGATGATGGGGAATTTAAAAAAACTATATGATGGGGAATTTAAAAATAACTATTAGATGATGGCTGCAGGTGCTGTGCTCTATGTACTTAATTTATTTCATATTTTTTTCATACATGATAATTATGACTTAATTTTATTCTTAAGTAGGTAATATTCTTTGTAAATAATTGTTATCCATTTTATTTGTGTCCCCACATTAGTATGGGATATCTCCCAAACTAGAAGGGTCTTTGACACGTTAATAAAGTTTCTATCCATCTATCTATAACTGTGGCAACCATGTGTCATGGAGAGCCAGTACGCGTTAGCAAAAACCACCGGCTAGTTCACTGTGTTGAGCTTGCATATCATTTGACAGTAATTTCTGAGGAGGAGTGGTATATGTAATAAGACACTACTATTTGTATCTCAGGATTTAAATACCAGATTAAAAAACATTATAAATGGAGCGCCATGTGTTCTATTCATGAAAGGATCACCCCAGGAGCCTCGCTGTGGTCTGTATCTTGCTTCTTTTTTTTTTTTGTACTGATCTTTAGGGCACTTGCATGTTTTTTTTTTTAACTCTTTTCATCCTAACATCAATATGCATATTTTCCATACTGTTCTCTATACATTTCCCAAGGTGCTGACAAGGAGAATTTGTTTAATAATCAAAGCTTCTAAGGACGGCAATCATTTCCTTTATTCTCATGCTTTTAATGAATGATTTAGTAGTATCATGGTTAGGAGGTGTTACATGCCTAGAGCCTTCACGCTTTAAAATGTTTTAACACTCAGGGTTATTTTTTTAGGGGTGGGCCTCGAGGAGGTCATTGGGAAATGCAGTGTGTTTTGAAATGGCCCTAAGAATTTATAAAATGTTATTGTATCATATTAGTTATAAAGCAAATGGATGTTCTTGTTTTGATTTTAGGGTTTAGTCGGCAAATGATAGAATTGTTAAATTCACATGAGGCAGATTACAGTCACTTCGATATCCTTACTGACAATGAAGTTAGACAAGGTTTGTAAGTTTGGAACAGTTTTTTCCCCCATCTTTCACTCATTTTGTGTAACAATAGTGAATATAAATTATGCTGAGCCATATCTTTCTCATGTTGATAATAAATATTTAAGCCAGAGATCTATATAGATCTGAAGTTGTTTCATTTTATAATTACAGGTCTGAAAGTGTACTCAAATTGGCCCACATACCCACAGTTATATGTTGATGGTGAATTGATTGGCGGCCTGGACATTGTGAAGGTTTGGGAAGACTTCCTCTAATTTTTAAGACCATTTGTTGGAAAATTTCAACTCCCAAGATCTGCCAGTCAATTCTCACCTCTAGTGGCTACACATTTCCCCATATATCAGTTACGAGAATCTGGTTTTGGATCATTTTTAAAACTTCCACCTGATAAGTCTAAGGATTCTAATTACCTGTTTGCATGAAGTAAAAGTAAACTGAAGCTTTAAATTTCATTTCTTAAA